AATATACCTAAATGACGTCTGTGATGTTATAAAGCACGGCAGACCTTTCTTATATGCCGACGACTTGAAGATAGTCTACCACAGTACCACCCAAGAAGTGACAAATCTGTCTCATAAAATCCAATCGGATATTGATAATATTGAGACATGGTGTAAGTCGTGGATGATGCAGATCAACGTGGAGAAGTGTGGACTGTTATGCCCAGCTCGCTTACGTACCACACCACACATAACTATGTGCAACAAGCCTATCACTATCTTTCCTTCTGTACTTGACCTCGGGCTTCGTTACTCCGCTGACTTTAAATTCTCTCTCTATGTCACCAACCAAGTTTCTAAAGCCAGAAGATTACTTGGATTTATATTTCATAACTTTCAAACACAAGAATCTAAAATGTTACTTTATAAAACACACATACGGCCCCTCCTTGAGTACTGTCCATTTATCCTAGACAGCACCTCTGTTAAGGACAAACTAAAGATTGAAAGTGTTCAAAGGAGATTTACAAGTAGAATCCTAGGAACAAGTCTGAAAGTTCCCTACAACTATCGTTGCACAACTCTTAAGATCGAACCCCTTTGGTACAGGCGCCACCGACTTAACCTCATTCTCCTTTTTAAAATAATCAAAGGAATAGTACACTTTCCCAATAATAACCTTAACTTTACTTCTTCGACGTATGAACTACGCAGCAACGGGTCTTCTCTTAGTCATATTCTTTGTCGCACGAAATTACGTTCCAACTTCTTTACAGTCAAATATAGGCAAACATGGAACTTCTTGCCAAGTGAAATTAAAAATAGCACCACATTACAACGATTCACCTATCTAGTAAATAAATATTTCTCTGAAAACAGTCTTGAAACAGTTTGCCACATACTGAAAATTCGTGATATTGTTTCTTTCCCCTTTGAATTACGTACCTAAACAGCTTTGTTCACCGAAAGCATTAACAGAAACGGTCAGTATTATCGGACACATTTAAAATAATCAACGTTGCACTAATGCTGTTCTCAGTTCTTTCTTTTTTAGTTGATTCAATTGTTTGTCTAGCAAGCACCATCACAAAATATTCACAATCCTTTCATACAAACCTGGAGTGGAATACTCAGCCTGATATACCACGAAAGCTGCACTGAATCTACATGAACTACCCTCACACCTTATGTCATACCTTTTCAGTGATTCAACTCCATTTAATCCCAGCTGCTGACTGTCAAATTAATCAAATATTATGGTGAATATCCCTGGCAAAACTGTATTTTGGGCAGTTCAGTGTTGTGGAAGTTCTACCTCAAGGTTGAGTGGTAAACAACCTGGATATAGCTGGGACTAAAATCTCCTCTGGTGACTAGCTAGTGTTGTGAGTAAATACCACCTACGTCTACGCAAATTCCAGCCCTATGCCGGATTGCCTAAAAAATCAGCTTAACTTCACTGTGAGTTTTAAATATTAGCGAATTTTTATTTTACGGTTCTGTTATTATAATCCTTCATTCTTCTGAACCATCTATTATAATTAACTACTGCCTCTTTTTATGCATATATATTCATAACTGTGTACCTTTATGTATTTTTCTCTTCTCATACCATTTCATATTGCCCCTTCGTTTCATATGTTTATAACTAAAATCTAGAAAGTAGACTGCAAATCTCTGATTTCCTTACTTTTTTATTGTATATATATGTTTTTAAAATGCTGTTAGGGACGATGCATACAAAGTGGCTGACTGAAAGTAGTCGTTCATACCATGAGTTTCGTTGAGTAAGCTGGTGAAGGCGAAAACTGTCTAAATGACACTTAGCAATAAAAAAATTCTTCTAAAAACAAGAGGAGCATTTCGCCAGGGCCTAGCAGATTAAAAGGTGGGAGGGTGGTGACCGCTATTCAGCGGATATGATGGTGGGGACTTAAGAGAACCACCCTTATCTGTGGGAATGCGCTCTATCGCTAAGGTTCCTGAGTGTGAATGACTTCAAAAAAAAATAATAATAATAATAAAATAATAGCTGCCTGTATAACAAAGCTTGTGTATAAACTCTTTGAAAACAACCTCATGGTACGATTTCTCTACTTCAGGAGGACATCTAACTGTATAAATCAGAACATCAGCATAAATAAGTATCATCACTCTTTTTGTTTTTCTTCACTTCTATATATTTTATGTAATTTGGCGTTTGGATTTAGCTTCTCCACTTTCTATTCCCATTATCCTATATAGATCTAAAAATCATTATTCGTTTTGCCCTTGTTTTCTAAAAAATTTGTTATTCTATATTTTTTTTTGTTGTTGCTTACTACCACAAACTTGAACTAACTGTTAGTATGTAACACTATAAAACTCAATGACTCTAAATTATTAGTAACAAAGTAGGGGAATAAACCCTGCGTTTATCGCATATTGTTTGCTTAAATTATTATTATTTGCTGGCTGCCTCTGCACCTCTCTTTCTGTTTTCTTCTTCCTTCTCGAAGGTATTGCATTGATGCACTGCAAATGAACAGTAATGCTGCTTTCTACGTTTTTATTACTTGAGCGTTATTCAGAATGTTGTTGGCAGACACAACGAACAACGGAAGAAATTCCATTCTGAGTACTGTTTGTCATCGCAAAGTTGGTCCCTTGTATCTGTTATTACCAAAATAATGCTGTACTTACCCTCTACTGTGGAGTTGTTTTTTTTAAAATATTTGAACCCTTATTAATTGACAAAATGACAATGATCACTAGGCCTGTATCCTGTATGTCGTACTCTAGCACATGTTAATCACCTCTCTTCTTACCTTCCATTAACGCAACATTTCGTAATTCCCGCATGAATTTAACTGACTATAAGTATATTATAGACTATAAATTAGACTTGAACCAGTATATTGTAATCTATTCTAACAAAGTTTCTAGAGGTTTTTTTTCCATTTTTCCAATTTTTGATGTCAAAAAACGGTGTTCCATTTCAAATTGTACTTGTTGAATATGATCATGCCTCTGCAAACGGTATGTTAATCATGTAAATGTTTAATTTATGTGAAATATATATATATATAATTGCTGCTTGCAATGTCCTATTGTTTATTCCACAATTAGACTCA